CTTCTGTATTGAAAAGAGTCAGAAGCAGCTGGCGGGCATCTTCCCAGATGGGCCGGTGAGAATGGAAGATAGACTCTAAGAGGTCAATCATAGCCTGTGGCTTGACAGCCTGATTACAGTCGTCACATACCACCAAGTGGAAATCATTGTGGGCTGGACAGGGACCAAATATTCGCATGTCTCTGCGACAGAGCCCTATTACTATCCCAGCATCATTTCAGGACTGGGCAGGGGCCGGTGCTCCCCGACAGTTGCCATGGAGGTGGCGGTGGCCCAGATGGAGGCGGCGATGGCCCAGGTGGAGGCGGCGATGGCCCAGGTGGAGGCGGTGCCGGGGCTGGGGGTGCTGCTGCTGCGGCTGTTGCCAGGTGGCAGTGGTTGCTGTTCCATCCGCCGCTGCTTGGCGTGGCTCCCCTTGACGTCTTCCGTGGCCCACTCTGACACTTTTCACTCCTTTTCTTTGGAGGGCAGGCCAAAAATCCTGACAGGTTTACCAGTGGCTCTTTATCTGCTATTATTGTGGAAGCTCTTCTTCTTAATTTTGTTTAGACCATAATGTGATTGAAATGCCTGCAGTTTTTCAGAGTAGGAAGGAATATGTTGGCGCCAATTGAGAAGGGCTGTAGTGCTAAAGGGTTGGTAGCAGAGTACGGGGGTGCCCAGGCTGAACAGTCCTGTTTTCCCCAACTTGTTGTGGCCCCTGTGTCTCCCGCAGCGGCAGTTGGAGGGCCGGTGGTGCTGGCCTCCCGGCTTGTGCTGAGCGGAGTCTTCTTCCTACCGGCTCAGGCTGGGGGCTGGGCTCTGCCTCTGGGTCCTCAGGTTGGGGAGGTGTTGGTGCCCCGGGGGCATACGGAGGGGGCAGGCACATTTTGTTCTCTGTGTCTCCCTGGAAAATAGGCTTTTTTTTATCTGTCTTTTTTGGCCTGGACCAGCTGAGCTGCTAATATCTTGCATTGTCCAGGTCCATTTGAGCAGAACCGAATCCATGGGGGTAGAGTCTGGGTGATATTCAGCCAGGAGTCAATGTAAGGGAATTGATCTGGGTGGCCTGGGGTTCCAGTGATTATTTGATAGACTGCTCGCACTGTTGCTAGGTCCAGAGTTCCTCCTGAGGGCCACCCGACTCCAAAGGCCAGCCATTCAAGCTCACACAAAGTGCGGAGCCTGCCAGGGGTCATTCGAATTCCATAGTGTCCTGAGAACCCCGTTTTGAAATTCTTAATCATGCAGTCTAGAGTGGTGGGTTTTGACTTAGAGCCTCCCATTCTTTTTAGATGTTTAAGGATAACATATCTGTTGCTCTAGATGTTTGGGAAGGTAGCCTTTATATCTTTTCCTTCTTCACTCCTCAAAACACCGGAGTTCCCAGAGAGACTGCTCTTTTGCTGGGTCTATGAGTTGTTTGAAGGCTAATTTGGTCAGGGATTCTGGGTTCCAGTCACAGCTGATGTCTCTGGAGCTCAAGGCCTCAAGCAGTTCCAGGGACTTTCTTCATTAAATCCTCTCTATATCCTGAACTAACGTATCAGGGGCGTGGGACTGACGGTGGATGGTAAAACAAATGGACTAGAAAAGGGACCTCCAAGGCCGGGTGAGCCCCGTCCTGAAGGAATTCGTCTTCTAAACTTGAGTCCTGGGGGTCTGAGGCTAGCTAGGCAGAAGGGGCACTACTTGGGTCAGTTCAGTAGGGGAACAATAAGTCTCGGGTGTTCTGTGACAGAATCAGGTAGGAGACTTTCTCAAAGAAATAGCATCCTAGCCTCCAAGGGCACAGGGGCG